TAAATAAAAATTTCTTGTGTTCATATGTGCACAAATTTTTTTTTGCAGATCATAAGATCGACGAATTTCCAACACTGTACAAACCTCCCATGATCAATCACGATCCAAGAAGGGGCACGGGTTATGTTTCTGAACAACAAGTTGTTCAAGCATGACATTTGCAATGGAACAATAGGAGTCGTTACCAAGAGTATAGACCACAATAACGTCGAGGTCACCTTCCCAACAAACGAAAACATTGTTAAAATCAATGTTCAAAAAACTACCACGAACTTTGAAATTAATGGGGTACATGCCTTGAGACACCAATTCCCTTTACAGAACGCTTTTGCGTTAACCGTCCACAAGACCCAAGGCTTAACGTTGCTGCACATCACCTTGACCATAGATCAAAATATGTTTGCTCCTAATCAGATCTATGTGGCGATGAGTTGATCTCCTTCTTGGAATTCAATGGACATTTTTGATTTCGACTTCAATTCCTTGAAGGTAGATAGGGATGTGATAAATGAATACAAGAGATTGAGGTTGTTAAATGAAAAGGGTCTAATGGAGATGAGTCGACATTGATTTGGTTTTTCGTGATAGTAAATAGATGTCGAAAGCATTTTTTTTGTTTTCATAAATTGGACTATTTTGCATAATATTATTGTATCACTATCGATTAATGTTAAATTAGACTATTTTGTATAACATTGTACCAATAAACAATGATGGTATAGTGCATAAAGAAAAATCATGCAATTTCGACTTTTTTGTTACAAGTCGTATCCAAATAATGTAAAGCAATTTTTGTGTCATATGAAAACCCCAATTTAGTAATGAACGTCTTGACTTCACCTGTTTTCCTTGTGCATACATAAACGATTGATTGGTTAATTCAAATTCCAGTGAAGACTGATTGGTAAAAAACGCATTTTTTAATCTTTTTGTATAAATATGTAAATCAAAAAAAATGTCAACGCACTAAAAGAAAGTATGACGAAAAGATTAAACAAAAATATCAAAAATATCAAAAATATCAAAAATACAGTTGATGATGATCCGGGTAATGTTGAATCAGCAATAGATGATGCAGCAGCAACAATGGAAATTTATTAGAACATGCAAAACATTTTTTGGGTTGTAAATTTTGTTTTTATTAAATAAACTTTTTTGATTTTTTCATACATCATTCATGTTTTGTCTTAATCGTATATCTTAAATATTGGTTGTGTTTACAATCATTTTGTTGACATTCATTATATTAAGGTTATTTTGATTATATCAAGAGATATGGTCAAGAGAAGAGTTAGGAAGAGGATTATTCTTCAACCAAGTCGAAAACCAACCCTTTAAATACATTTTTGAGTAGTACAATTTAATTTATTAGACTATTTGTCGGATGTTGCTTCCAACTTCTTAAATTCAAACGAAGCAACTGTTGGTGAAGTGATTGTTGACAAAATGAATCAAACCAACATTTATTTTTACGTTATCAAATTCACGATTTTGATTGGTCAATCGACAATTGTATGGGTTAAAATTTTGTTACCTGTTCGCTCAAACAAATAATTGTTTTTTATGTATCAATACTTAGTAAACATTCTGGTCTTGGGCTAATTCTTGTTATTATAGATAAATTATTTTTTACAATTATATTAATATAGGTGTAGATCGTTTATGCTATCAATTACATAAAGCAGACCAAGTACTACGGGAATTCTGAGATCTATAATTATTTATTTATACTACTACCCAAGTAGCACTTGCCAAAGTCAAATGTAGCAAGCTCGTTATTAGTCCAACATAAGTAATTAATTGTTATGTGCAAGGATCAAATTAGTATCTTCACTTAAACAATAACATAAACCACTTGGAAAATGTAAATCAAATTCCACACAATGATATTTAAAATTAAGAAATAAGATTATATTTTATTATTATTATTATTATTATTATTACGGACAATGCAATATACACATTGCACATTGTTCCTATATATAAAAAATAAAATAAAAATATTAATATTTTATTTAAAATATAATTATGTTTATATTATATATACCTCGTCATTAAATTGTGGTTGTGGTTGTGGTGATATTGTTGATGATGATGATGATGGTCCCTATAAATATAAGTAAATAAAAAAATTATAAAATGTTATGTCTACTATTAATGTTTCAGTATATACTTACACTTCGACGATGACGTTTTCTGTATGAGCCAATGCTATAATTAGTTGGTACCCTGACTCGCAGGTTATATCTCTGTAAGATTTTTAAAAAACAAACATATAAATTGACAAAAAAACAAAAATAAATTATTTATTTGGTTATCTTGATCATTCTTTTAAAAGATCATATAAATTGAAAAAATAAAGTTAAAAAACTGATACTTACATCATTATTATCATTGTTGTTGTTGTTGTTGCTATTATTGCTATTGTTGTTGTTGCTATTGTTGTTGTTGTTGCTATTTATTGTTATTGTTGTTGTTGTTGTTGTTGTTGTCTAGATCTTTAAATTATAATCCAAATATTTTTTTTTTTCAAAAAATTTTTTAGTAAAAGCCAATTTCAAAGATAAATATACATACTATCAATAAATATTCTGCTATCGCCATCATTATTCTTTTAAAAAATTACATATAAACATGTTAGTTATAAAAATGTAAATGATAAATGGAAAATTAGTTAAAAATTAATGTTGATTATAACCTCGATATCATCATCATCGTCATTATTGTTGTAGTTGTTGCTATTATTGCTAATGTTGTTGTTGTTGCTATTATTGTTGTTGCTATTATTGTTGTTGTTGTTGTCATTGTCATCTGGATCTTTAAATTATAATCCAAGATGAATAATTTGTTTTTTTTTTCAAAAAAAATTTTTTAATAAGAAAGACAAATAAACATACTATAAACAATTATTCTGCTACCATCATTATTATTCTTTTAAAAAATACATATAAAACATGTTAATTATAAAAATGTAAAGCAATAAATGGAAAATTAGTTAAAAAATTGATGTTGATTATAACCTTGATATTATCATCATCGTTGTTGTTGTTGCTATTATTGCTATTGTTGTTGTTGTTGCTATTATTGTTGTTGCTATTATCGTTGTTGTCATAGTTGTCATCTGGATCTTTAAATTATAATCCAAAATGAATAATTTGGTTTTTTTTTTTTTTTTTCAAAAAATTTTTTAGTAAAAGCCAATTTCAAAGATAAATATACATACTTCCAATGAATACTCTGCCATAACCACCATTATTCTTTTAAAAAATTACATATAAACATGTTAATTATAAAAATGTAAAGCGATAAATGGAAAATTAGTTAAAAAATTGATGTTGATTATAACCTCATATAAAATTTTTAAATTCTCAAATAACTCTTTGGTCCTTAATGGGATCGACGGTTGTTGTGGGTGAATCCTTTTAAGGATTCCAAATAACTCTTCCACATCAATCCAATCAGATATTGATTGGCTAAATAAATATAAAGCGATCAAAACACGAAGTTTTCACATGTGCGTGAATTTTAAATTTGAGTCAATTTGAACGTTAACTAGAGTGACGACGACAGGTGTTGGGCGATAACCACCACCACCATCCTTAAAACACTTACCCAGCAATCGCTGCACTAACATCAATTTCTTGTTTTCTTTTGTTCGATCCTCTGGAAGACATTTTTTTAAAATTAAAATAAAAAGTTTTGTGATACAATTGACGTGTATGTATTGATTATTTATCCTATTGACGCGAATTGATTTTTTTTTTTTTTTTTTTCTTGGAAAAACAATTTATTTTTTGACAGAGCCCAAGGTGACAAAACGTGAGTGTTGTTATTTGGCTTGGTTTGGGTCTCCTAAAGAAGAAGTGTTATTAACTAACCAGAGGTACTATTTTTACTTGTATTGATATAATGTGGTATCTTTTTTAGTTTATAAACATTTTAATTGGAATCAAAACGCGGAACAGATCTTGCTTGGTAATTACAAGATTTTCATTGATAATATTTTGCTTTTCGTGATCATCAATAATATTATTATATTATTATAATCACAAGATATCAAGGCAGCACACTGTTGAAAAAGAGACATTTCAAGTATGCGACATTTGATTATCGGAAATTGGCAGATGTTAAGCACACGTGCCACTTTGAACACTTACAATCATTCTCACATATTCCTCGTGTACATAAGGCTAATCTGACCAAGATTCCCATGATGATACAATGATGCAACCGAATTCCAGGGGGGGCGACATGGCCCTGGAGTTTACCGAGACTGCACCAATCGTCAATGACGCTTTCACTAATCTTCCCAGACCAGAGAAGGCTGCTGGCACGCTAGCTGAAAAGTCGCTTGCAACAATCCCACCTCTAGGGTAAGGATGGCTCTGTGACCAAGTCGCAACTTTGCTGATGAATATTAAGAGAATCTGCAGCTCGTTCAAGCACAGGAAGTCACAATTCAGAGCAAGGTTGGTGGCTTTGAAATTGCATTTGGGCTCCGATGTTAAGAGGAAAGTTGTAAAATAGTGTTTGTTTTGTATAATCATTTTCCTAAATTCTCCATTCTCTGATACTAACCAATTTATAATTTTGGGTAGGGAATTATATGGGTTTTTGCCCAATCAGTCCTCTGTCCCGTAGGTTAAAATTATTGCATGATTATATACATCTATGTGGCCAATGAGAAAAAGTCATAAAATGGTTTGGATTTTGGTATGTTTTGTATAAATTAATCATTTTCCCAAAATTTCTGTTTCTCTTTAATTTTTATTTGACCAACTGAATTTGTTGTTTTTTAAAGTGGGAACTTTTGCCCATATAACCCATCCTAGCTTAATAAAGGAGTGTAGCTCAATGAGAGCATGTATCTCACAAGTATCAAGGTGGCAGCTCAACCCTGTCCACTCCTATTGTGATAATCACCATGATCACTAGTACCAAGGAAAAAGCTGTAAAATAAAATGGATCAGATTTTGTTTGGTATGTTATGCATAAATTGATTCATAAATTTTCTATTTCTCTAATTTTTATTTGACCAACTGAATTTGTTGTTTAAACATGGGTAGGGTTGTTAGTGAGCAGGCATGCCACTAACAAGACAGCAAACCAGGACTTATAACTCTGAATTCAGGGAAAATCCAAAACAGCAACTTCCCAGGTTGCAACCTCCCAAGTTGCAGAATTTCATGCCAGGTTGCAGACACCAACTTTATTTTAGAGAGGAATAACACACAGCAATCATCACACAAATGCTGATCTGCATCAGTGATTAATGCTCATACAGAAACAACCAAGCCTGGTCTGAGGGAAGATAAGAAAAGTTTTGTCCAAAGCCTTCCAACATGTTTGGATTACCTCACCTGTGGAAAAATTCCATGGTTATGAGGAGGTGTGAGAACACCTTATTCCATGTTGGTGACAGGAAATTTCAATTAAATCTGACACCTGTGATCAATATCAGATTTATTATTCATTTTAAGGAACTATACAATGGGAAGGGAATTTTTTTTTTTTTTTTTGATCCTCCCTATTTATTTATTTATTCTTGAGCACTCCAGAGATCTGGGTAGGCATATATTATTAAGAGTTTCATTTTTGCATGGCCTTGGTATTATTACTACCTGTGTGATGCAATTGTTTGTTATGTCAATGATGATATCAAACATATTGAATAATAATCACGAATATTTGTTGGATGGAAGGCATTCACATACAAGGAAATGATTAAATAGCTAAGTCTTGTTTGTTTTATTAAAGGTATATGTAAATTAATTATACAATAAAAAAATTCCAAGAGTGCAAGACTGTACCATTGTGTCAATCAAGCTGTCATGTTTGTGCACGATTTAAAATTCTTTTGTGCTAATTTAGGGTCCCATCTTTCTTTGCTTATATATAATCTATTGGTTCTCTTTTTACTGG